CTAGTAGGTTTCTGCAATTGTGACCTGGGACAGCTTTTTATCTATGATTTAGAGCATCTATTAGAAATCTAACGATTTCCTTGACTGCAAACGGATTTAAATATGGAATACGTGTTTTCGATGAATACGAGGTCGACTTTCATGAGATAATACGTATGTTCCGAATATTCTTAAGTCTTTTAATGAGGTGTAGAGCCTATTTAACCTTCGTTATAAGCTTTATCTTAACACCAAGATCCTGGTAAGACAAAGTTGTCAAATTTTAAGACAAATTAAAGTCATAACAGATTAATTAAGTAATTTTAGATGAGCTATCGTTACAAAGTTCCATTCTGGGTTTCAGAAGTGAATTGATGTTCGCACAGATTACGTCAAGTGAAGCTTCTGTGTGAGAGCGCACATCAGTAGTAACATCCGTTGCTTCATATGACCGGCGAAAATGTACATATCCCAGTGAAAAATGAAGGCATTTCGCGAATGTATAAGAGATAGATTAATATCCTCCAGGGCTTTGAACTTAACATGGTTTTTATTAGACAAGAGGATATACCTGTAAAATTTTCTCTGTTATTTGTCCGAGGCCACTATAGCGGATTTGGTTTTGAGTCTGCTATGTTAGGCCTGTAAATTCGTGATTTTTGAGCGGTCCTCCCGTCGTTTGATGCTGGCGGGAGGACCTATAAAAATACCATGTATCACGTGGACGAAGGCTCACTTTGAACTGATTTATTGAGCCAAAATTTTTGCTACGTATTCATCAGTGAGCACTGAACCCCACATTAGAGGCTGGGGTATACGGCTTAATTAGATGGTTCTGATCCTAGTGAAAATATATTACAATGCGGTATTTTGAAGGCATCCAATTGCGCATGCATGAATTGTGCAACGCTTATGAATTTTCTAATGCATACAGTACATAAGCAGGAATATTTCATCGCGGATGCATCGAAAGATGTGAACAATTTCCCGACAATATAAGGTATGAGCCGTTTTTATCACCACCTGAGTGCGATCCATCGACCATGTAAGGTATGATGCTGTATGTCGTCCGCGCTAATGTAAATAATATTGTACGTTGTCGTCGGATTACAGTAGGATGACCTATATGAAAACCTGACAAAAGTTTTTCGCTACCTGCAAAGTTTTGCAAAATTTTTTGGACACCAACTATAACCGCGGAGATGGTTGAGTATAGTATTTGAAGTAAAACTAAAGCATTAAATGGTCTGTCAAAATAATACATAACTGATCATAATTTTCAGTCATTTAATGAATCAATTGCTTCGCATAACTTTAATTAAACCTGAAAATACCTATTATATTCAGTGCTGACATGCAAAAACTATCAAGTTTCAAATTACGTTGTCTAATTGATAATAGAATTGACAACGATTTTCAAATAAAGACCTTCTTAGAATATTTTCCCCCATTGATTTTTTTAATGATAATGTTTTAACAAACCACAGCAGGCTTTGCTCAATGGAGGCTTAAGTCTAAGCATAGTGCCTCGTCTTGCATTATTTTACCTGCAGAGATAACATTAAAATGCAGAGATATTTAAGAAAAAGATATTTAAGGAAGCTCGATGACTCAACTGATGAACAAACAGGTTCCGAAGGCGCTTCATATATTAATCTAAGCAATAGAATATTAAAATAAACAATGAAACGATACGAAATAGCACGGACTCTGGAAGTAGCTTGATATCAATACTGGGGACCTTTCTATATTCATAATTTTCTCTGCCTAAACTAGCATACTGTAGGAGCTCAACTGATGAATTTTTACTAATTTTTTCACTATCTACTTTTATATCTAAAAGTTATGTGACCCTTTAATAGAATAATATGACGTTATCTTAAACTTTTGAACAGCATAATTCACCAGGCTCATTGTCGATCATTAACGGTGTTTCCATAAGTTTTTATTGTTCAGATACAACTTTATAGGGACATCATTTTACCTTTTCACTTGTTTACATTGGGGACCAGTAAAAAGAAGTTATTTTATTTCTTCCATTGACATCTTGAGCAGTGCTGCACTGTGCTGCTTTGTACAAAATGTATAATTTTCCTTCCACGACTTAGATGGTAGCTCAGGTTTCCGAGCATTTTTCACACGGCAAATTAAAATATTTTTTCCATACTTCCAGTTCCACGTCATTTCTCCATTTTTCATGCGTCAAAAGCTGATGCGCCAACAAAGTTTTTTGTTGAGAACCAGCCTCGCTGCTCTGGCATCATGCCCTTATCGTGAAGCATTGGTTTTGTCTCATTTAATTTTTTTTGCACTCATTTGTGCTATTTATTTGTGCAACCTAGCGATTCCCTACCTACCCTACATTTGAGCAACCTATAGCAGTTCCCTACCAGTACCTGAATCCTGTCAGTCCTGTCTATTCAAATTTTTGTAGCCGAGCCTGGAATTTACTGAGACATGGACAAAGGGTTCAGTTAATAACATGAATGAATTGTTGATAAGTCTGCGAAATGCATCGTCAGAACATATTTAGGTACTCAATTCTTGTACAGTATTCAATGGATCTTTCACATACATTCAATTTTATCAAATTTCTTTCTTGTAGTATGTAGCTGATGTAAAGTTCAATAGAATGTAAATGTTCAATTCATCTAAAAAAACGAACGACCACATTACACGTTTCTAACGAAGCAAATATCAGAGCTGCTAAAATTGTGCCTCCTTAGTTGCGAATGAATAGTTTACGTTAATACTATTTATATTCGATTGTCTGATGGTCATTATGTATCACTGTGTTATGTGCAATATAGGTTATCTGAGGCTCTGAAATAACTGACCGCAGTTGTTCCCTTACTCACAATGGACCACAATGACTGAGCCTTTAGATGAGCAATGTAACGGTTCCACGTATTTGATGTCTTGTGTAGAGCACTGACTTTAAGAAAATCGTAATATGATATCGAGAGACTCAGTATGTAGCTAAGCTGCAATGGGTTGCTGACATCGTTATTCATTTTATTTTCATGACCGTTATCTGCTGAGATAGTTTTGGGCAGATTGCAATGCAATACCTCGACAATAAGCGACAAGATCAACAGCGGTGAGCCGGGAATTTTTTTTTTTTTAGTTACTGGATATAATTGCACGTGGAGATTTTTTCCCACTGTTGGGTCCACCTTCCAAATATGAAGATTCTCTCGCGATGTGCTGAATTGGATGGCACCTTCTGGAAATTCAAGTTTTTGTTATACTTTTTGTTACGCCAATGCCAGCGCCCCTGCCGGCAGTGGCGTCGTCTGGTGGGTAACATTTTAGCTTCTCTTATGTCATTACTTGTGCTTGATCATTCTAATTTAGTATCATTGTAGGAAATAAGTTCGATTATGTTCTTTAATTAAGTTACCTTCTATCCATGAACTAATTTTTGATGTTATATTTTGACTCGTTTATTCCGGAGAAGTAGACATTGATGTGTAGTTCTGATTGATGCAAACACTGTTCAATTTAAGGATTTATGCTCACAACAACATTTCTTTTTAGCATGTTTTATTCCAATTTCACCTAGATTCATAATACTATTTTTCCAAATTTTATTAACATTTGTATTGAAAATTTAAAGCTTGATTTTACTAGGTAGAAATAGTTGGCTTGCACTGACATTTCACAAAAAAATTATTTGGAATTATTTTAGAAAAAAATGATTTAAGAAAATTGCAAGTCTCTGAATCGTGGACCGAAATTCGCCATTGGACATTCGCGTGTGAGCCGATGCTATTCATTTCAGGTCTAAGAAGCGAGCGTCTCACCGCCTGCAGCATCGGCATGTTCACAATCGATAAAATTTTTAAACAAGTGAAGATTGGAAGTCTCCGGAAATTTATACGTCATTTGCGAATCATCGTCTAAAATTCATTGTTATCTTATAATGCGAATTTCGCTGGCGGCAGGCAATTCATTGGCAGGATTCTGATTCTCGTGAATTCTGTGTATATCAATTCAGCCGCAAATTCAATTTGGCTCGCGCGATGTTCCACTTAAACGAAAATTAATTTGAGAATAAAGCTAGTGGTTATACAGCATCAAATTCTGGTTATATGCTTTTCTAGTTAGAATTTAATATATTTCTGAAAAATTGAATGAACCCGTCCAATTAATGAATTAAGTTTGTGTAGATTAGCGACTAGGTATGTCAATTGGCTGGCTACGCGTTATTTTCTTCAGGATTGAGTACATTGATCATGAGTACAATGTATGCACGTACATTGAGTACGTTCATTTTTCTGAGAGAAGTAAAAAAGAAACGAAGTAATATGTTTCTTACCGGTTACTTTATCGATTGAAATATTTGGAGTAAAATAGAAAAAAGTTGAGCATGTTTATTAAAAATTTTAATACAAATAAATAATTATATAACTGTGAAACTTTGCATGCATTTTTAACACTTGTAAAGAATTAGCTAACATAACATTACCTACATATAAATAGAAGTATTTGAGATAAATTATATTAAAACCCATCAGCAGATTAGAATGGAAAATTAATGTTTATCATGTTAACTGTAATAAATTGTGGTGGATAATAGTTGTTAACAGAGCGGGCCATTGCTGGATTGCAGTTAACTCGTTATATTCTGATGTTGTTGTGAAAATATAGCAATAACTCTCACTATAACCATATTGATGCTTTCAAGTTGTTATATAGTGGGCATGGGTATTAGAAACTCACAGCAGCAATTGTTATAATACGCTACATACTTTTACACCAGAAACGCACCATACTTTCACACGCTACATACTTTCACACTTTAAATTTTGAGAAAAATAACAATAAATAATACAGATTAAAAATAAAAAATTATTTTAAACAACACTTAAAATAGAAAAACAAAATGAACCGAAAAACCTCACATCAATGAGCACAGCAAAGTTCCTCCTACTTATTTTGAGCTCATGCCTTATCAGTTGATACCTTGCTATCATAACCATAACCTTCCTTCGCAGCATAATTAATGCTGCGTGAATTCATAACGTAGAAATTTTAGTAAATTCACCATAATTTTCACAGATACTACGATGTAATCAACTGTAATAAATATCATAATTTTAAATAATAAATCTTTAGAATGCATTTGTATCAATACGATTGCGCCTTCCATTGCAATTTTGGTTTGCACTTATATGATTATTTCACCACCAGGGTGAAGCTTTCTCTCATGAATAGTTTAAAATTCATGAAAACCAATAATCTCGTGCTCCATACCCATGTAAACGTATCCCTCGTTCGCAGATAATTCTCTGAAAAAGCTTGCGTCTTTATAAAAGTGCACATATTATGAATGGTTATCTTATAAAAAAGCTAGAAATAAATATCACTTTGAGAACCGGTTTTAATTCGCTGCAGTCAGATCATGGAAGTAAACCCTATCTACTAGTTGGCAGCTAATATTTTTAACTAATCTTGTTTAAGTTATCTCCAGACGGCAGACGATCGCACTTCGTATGCATATTTATCGCCTGTTTGATCATCACAGAGTCGTCTCGTTACTCAGTGGGTCTCACGCCTGTCGCTAACCACGCTCATCCTGCGAGCTGTGCGTGCTTCGTCTTAGTCCGATTTCCATATCTCTGCGTTCCGACCACTCAGATTATCATGAATAGGAGCTGAAGGCGTGAGGCGAGGGTTGTAGTGAATGATGAATGGATCTCTGTGAACGGGAAAATAATCTGATTTAATGCGTAGAGGATTTGGACGCTCGTGTGCAAAATTCAGCTGTTGGGGTACTGTGTTTGTATGCGAGGGAATAATTTCACTTGGTAAAGTGTTCGAATGTTGTTGGAGAGTGTTGCTTGTTTGAAGCGTGCTCGTGGGTAAGCACACTGAGTTCGCAGTTGCAAACATGTTATTGTTATGCAATGAATTTGTTTGAACGAGTTTTGATTCTGTTTCGGTTTCACGCGAGAATTGCGAAAGGTCCCGGGATTGGCGCCACTGTCTGGTAATGCTCCACGACGCTATTTTCGCCGTGATGGCTTCGATGGCCTCTTGGTGCCACCCGAGGCTGCGCCATGCAGAGGGCTCAGGGAGGCCGTACTCCAGCAGCTTGCGCATGTTAACGCGTAGACGCTCATCCTCATCCACGCGCACGTCTACACATGGACTCATGCCCACCACATCTAACAGGCTCACTAGAACCTGAGAATTAATACATTTTCGTTAGAAAAATAATTTTTTATTGAACATTTATGGCATAATAATTATTGTATCATCAACTATGTTTGGTCAGTCAATTGCAAATCCATGGTTGTGGTGCTTGTTCAAGTCATTTATCGTAATGGTTGAACGAAATCATTATGTTTTGGGTGCATTATTGCAAATTCCTTAAGAGCTTACTAAAAACAAGTGCAATGAATTGACTACAATGAACTAATCTTTTTTGGTAAGTGAGAGACTCAATCAATGGACACACAGCGGGATGTTTTATATATTTTAAATTTAAGAAAATACTACGGTCAATGTTGAAACTCAAAAAAATTAAAACTTTGAGTAACTATACTAAATTCAATGTTCACTTTTACGATTAAGTTGCAATCATTGTTGCAGCTAAGTTTTATTTTTTCACATCCTTGTAAGCATTTACCTGCTCAACATTTCGGTTCGGGTGCGCAAGTTGCGAAATGGTTGACTTTCCGACGAGCGCCATGAGAGCAGTTTCTACGTTGAGTTTGAAGCTCCTCCTGTCTTCCTGCAATGGGCAAATCTGGAATAGGGATTTCTGGATAATTTCCATGATATTTCCAATTGCCTTTGGAGAAGCTTGAGAAACTACTGTAGCCTCTTTGCAGCTTTTTACATTTCTTTTTGTCCACTTCTCACTTGTAGAAGATGACGGAGTGGGTTGGTGTCTGATTTGTGTGCCTTTGGTCTGATTGTGGTATGCGGGTCTTGCTAAATTATTGATGCCATTCATAGTATAGTCAGTGTTATTTGTAACAGCAACATATATCTGCTGAAATTTACAAGCACTGTCATGAACTTTGTTGCTGGAAATTCGCGTTTTGCTTTCTATTAAATCGGATGATTGTTTTATTTTTCTGTAGAATTTATCTTTTGGACCCAGAGCAGCATTTTGACCAGGGGACGGGCTGGATGTTAGATAATCTTTCTTACATCGTTCAAGATCTTTTTCATTGCGCACATATTCCAGTTCTCTTCGTTTTAAACCTCGATTTATTTTACTATCACTAATTCCGGGGAGCTCTCGATAATTTTCACCCAGTCTACCAGTTGAGATTTGAGACTTATTTGCCAAATTTGCTTTTGAGTCTGGAGAAAGGTCCATAGGTGACATATAGGCTTCAGAATTGTGCGTCTGAAAAACTCGTTCCGTGACGGGATAAACTGGGTTCATGTCAGAGGTGCAGAAAGATACAGGTAAAGCTGTAGAATTGCATGTCCAAGGATGCAAGATGCGATGAGATCCCGGACCATCAGAAAAGACGCTGCTGCTCACCGAAGAAAAATGTTGAAAATTCATGGGTGCTTCTTTTAGTGATTTTGAGTCTCGAGTTTTATCGTTTATAATTCCACGAGCCTTTGAAATCGTTGATACTTCAATATGATGAGGTACTGTATCTAGACTTGTACTTGTTTCGCTGATTAGAGGGTTCGAACTATGAACATCGTCCCGTGATAACAAAGAAATCGATGACGATACATCACTAACCGGTGACAAGTTTGGTAGGGGTTTCATAGAAGCCCCGTTCAATTGTCTACTGCCTATATCACCCAATGAAGCCGTGGGACAAGATATACAAATTCTATTGCTATTGCCGTTGTTGGAAACTTTACTGTACGCGCGTTTCAACGGAGCGATATAGTATGGTATTTTCCTTTCGAAATCACTAACTGAGGTTTCACCGGGAGAACTGAAGATATTTACTGTTGCTGCAGTTGAATTATATGGTGTGATACTAAAATAATTGTTTTTTGACAAATTTGAAGGAATTAATGACAAATGTTTTTGGGTGAGCTCTCTTCGGTTTAGCGTGTTGCCGGCTTCAATGTGATATCGATTCATGTCGCCTCCCTCATCTTCAACGCTGACGGTGACACAACTGCTGTCTGGACTCTCTTGTCGAAACTCTTTGATATTATTTGCTGAGTTAACACCGGCAGTGCTAACGTTGTTGTTGGCATCTTTGAGAGTATCTTCAAGTGAAGATGTCTTGTGGTGCTGGTGAAGAGAATTTTCTAAGCGTATCAAACTTGAATGATGATGTGGTAACATCGATGATGAAACGCTCTCTCCCTGATCTTCCACGTCCGCTTGGCTCACTTCATTCGGGTGCGAATCGTCCACGTCCGCTTGGCTCACTTCATTCGGGTGCGAACCGTTCATGTGAATGACCAAATCTTTAGTTTCCTGGAACAACCAACCACATCTTATACATCTTATGCCTCCATCAACGTGATGGCTTCTTTCATGTCTTATTAAATTGCCTGAATGTTCGAAAGATCGGCCGCAAAGTTTGCAGGAGTACGGTCGCTCTCGAGTGTGAATACGGCGGTGAACCACCAGGTTTGCATACGCCGCGAACCCCTTTGAGCAGATATCACACACGTACGGTTTCTCACCGGTATGCGTGCGCACGTGAATTTTAAGCACTTTGGAACAAGCGAAGCCTTTTTTGCAGTGCGAACATACATACGGTTTTTCTCCTGTATGTCTCCGAACGTGTATCACCATTTGTCCATGTTGCGAAAATTGCTTGCCGCAATGTTGGCACATGTAGGGCCTTTCCCTGGTATGCACGCGTATGTGTGTGTTACAGTTGCCCTTAGAGGCGAATGACTTGGAGCAGTAAGGGCAGTGGTAGGGACGCTCTCCTGTGTGAGTTTTGTAATGGGCCATTAAACGGGATTTGCGGTCGAACTGGCGAAAACAGACGTCGCACCAGAGTATGTCCTTCGTGGGGACCTTGTAAAAAATTTTGATAAAATTTAGTAGCCTTCAAAAATGTATAACATTTTCCAATAGTAAATTTACCTTATCATTATATTAAAGTAATTGATTGCCTAAGATGAAACGTTAAGTCCGATTGATCTCGACAAGATGCAATAAATGATTCAAAAGCTTGGAAGGAATATATTTATAAGCTACATTTTTATACGAACACTGCTGTTAACAGTGTAAATCATCAACAATAGAACTGCACTAATGATTGCCAGTTGAAGTATGGCAACAAATATCTCACTTTATTATCTTCCATGCTTGCCAGAGGGCGCTGTCCTGCAGGTCTCGACGCATTGATGTTGTATGATCGAGGCCGCATGTGTTATGACTGCATTGATAGATCATCCTAAATTACATGGTGGATTCAATCGCAATAGAGATGTTCAGCGAGCTATGGGAGTCTCGAAGATATTCGACTGATCACCAGAGGATCTTTAACAGTTCAGACAAAACATTGGTTACGACCTCGTGCTGCTGTCGGCTGTTTCAGCGGAAGCAGCAAGGCTGCGTACAAGGATTCTTAAACTATTAGGCGTTCAAAACGATACTAAAATGATTACTAAAATATTAACCAAGGAAATATACTAGAGAGTTCAAACTTAAAGGATTTTAAAGTTCGAATGGTTTGCTTGTATTTGTTGCTTGTGGTTCAAAATATTTGTTCTCAAACGAAAAAATGAGGACACTATCAATCATATGGGGAGCTTTGAAATTATTTGAATATGAAATTTCCTATTCAAACACAATTTTCATCAGAACAAATACAGTAATTTTCGTTTGAATTATATGATTGCCACAAAGAAATGTCACAAAACAGCGATTAAATAATCTCGGGAAATTTGTTGCCTCTTTTAGCTAGATTCAAACGCAACGTCCAATCCACCAATTCACAATCGACTAATACGTCCGAATTGAAGAAAAAACAGTCCACCAATACGTCTGAATAGAAAAAAAGGTGCCTGGGAAGGAGTCTTGATTCCTTCAGAGTTATTTGATCTAATAAATTTGCTTTTAGCCTCGACTCTGGCCCCTTTTCCTCATAATTTAGTGCACATATGCCATATTATGTAGGCCGTTAATTGATCAATTTAGCAAGTTAAAAATGTAGCGATTATTTATCTCTCAATAGATTTAAAACACTCTTGCTTCAAAATAACGTTATTAGCTTAAGTGATGAAAGCTACCAAAATATCAAGTAACCTCATTCTACGTGCCTGCATTTCCTCCCCCTCACAGAAAATGTATTCTCTCTAAAACTGATTTGAAATGTACATGAAAGTCTTCAACGAGTACGATTTCATTTTTTCATCTAGTTAGTGAAAGTACAAGGTCTGCTTGTCATCGAAATCAATAGTGAAGGACAACGGGTATGAGTAATTTCGTGTTCACATCCCTCTGCATGAGCCGAGTGTTGAAGCCTCAAAAATCAAGGCCTGCACATATTGCTATTTTACAATAACATTGTCGTGGAAGTTATTCGAATGAACTGAATTTTTCATCATTTTCCCAATATATTACGAACATTAGCAATGGAGGCCTTTGCTGTTCAATATAAAGGAAACGGTTTCAAATATTAGGAATATTCATCACTTCAAAAAAATTTAATTAGAGGCGTTTTATGGCTGCAACACAAATTTAGCTGACATTTGTCAACATTTTAAGTTTTCACGAATAAACTGTTTTTAACTTGCTATTTAAATAATTATTAGTAATATAATTTTCATTTCGATACATAATAATTTTCTGCAAATTAAATAGACAAAAAGCATAGTACCTATCAGCACTCTTTAAATGCGTTTTTTTTTCATTTGGGGTTCCCTCAGCACTGAGAATATTTTATACCAAACACTTGTTAGCGCATTTTCTCATTTATGGAAAAAATGCACTATTGTGCTCGCCATGTCCATCTGTCTGTCCGTCCGTGACCTCAAGTTTCATCGACGAGAAAATGCGCTCTGTCACTCACTGCAGTGAGTACTGAGTTATATTTTTTAACTTTTCAGTTCAGGAGTCAGCAGAAATCTTGATAACAACGCGACGAACGCCCACACATCCTCACCGCTGCCCTGACACGGGCAGAATGAGGGAGGGTCACGCGCTAGAACCGTCGAAATCCTCAGTTAAACTCGTCCCTCGCTTTATGTGTACTGACGGCAGCTATCTCTTATCATTAAAAACTAAAAAAATTAATTTTACGTAGCAATATTGCAAGGAATATATGCACATTCATAAAAAAATTCTCCCTGATATATATACATGTTTTCTCTCCAGCGAGCATGTAGGATTATGCTATATGTCAATGTGATAGGGTTACTTTTTAGGCTCAAGGTTTTTTTCAAAATTCTCCTTCAAGCTCCACATATTTTTCAATTATTTCCTTCAATTTGATATCGATATCTGACTTGTACCTTTTACCGAAGTAAATTTCCAACCTGCGCTCCTTCAAAATTATGCTCACTTAATGGCTTTTCTATTTAAAAAAAACTAAACAAAACTTCAAATAGTAAATATCCGTGAAGGTAAGATAGCAAACTACCACAAAAATTACATCCTAGTATATGTATATTTTTGAACACAAATAGCATTTGGATGCCACCGCTTCTTTCTAATTATAATAATTTATTGCAAATGTCGTTAGAAATCTAATTATTGAGAGCAATTAAAATTCAGAAGACCACATTTAAATATACATATCTCATTTAAATTATTCGTTAATAACCGGACAGTGATAAGCCTCTCAACGGACCGTTGTAGGCCGTAGCTGCTGTAGATTGCTGAACAAAAATTAGATTGTGGGTAGATTTGGTTAAATTTTTTATTTACAATGTAATTTAGGTTACTCTTTCAATCTTATTTATTCAAAAATCGTTGAAAAATTTGTCAATTACAGACCGTGCTTCCGTAATGGTTACATTTCTAAGAATGTACCCGGCATTACTGAGAAGTGGCATGAACGTGCTGCTGCGCATTACGGAGTTTACACATTGCGGTACAGATGACTTGAGCAAATAATGCAATAGCAAAGTCATGCAATAACATTTAGGTCTTTTGATTCAGAGTCGTAAATGACTTATTTGAGTATCGTGACGAGGCTGGAATTGGCTTAACTATCACAACGCAATGGACCGATATCGTTATGCCAATAAATCTTGGTATCATTAGAGTAAAGCTCGCCTAGTATCTGCGACGTACAGCAAGAATATATTGATGGCGAGAATCATTAAAGAGGCATACATAGTTAATTGGCAAAAATTTTGAGTAGGCCTGAGGAACAGGCTTCAGGTGATTGAATTTGGGCCAATATTGTGGGCTGTAATACATAAGTGATGCAAAATTAATGAAGGGGTACAAGCTTCACACTCGTGACAGTTTCTCATGGTAGCTACAATAGCCCGTTAGTGTATAAGTACTCCTACAACTTGATATTAATTTTTATTACAAGCTACTGCATAGCATTCAATCCTGAATCGAGCATCGGCAGTTGCAGGTCATTGTGTAATGCAATTCAAAATGTATATTGATGAAAGTAGATATACCTCTAATTATAGCCGAAAGCCTAAAATTAAAGCATATGTATATTAAATAATGCAGAACAAATCACGAGACGACCTAAGATGCCAGGGCCAATTCAATGAATATTAAATGAACGATGTCTTGACTACATGTCAGCTTTCACTCAAACTTACTTTCCACTGAAATCGCGACTTGTATTCTTTAAATTAACTTCTTGTTCCCGATTCTTTCATTTCATAAAAGACTTTCAGCGCCTTTTTCTGAGGTGGGCAGAGAGCTATTAAGTGAAGTGCAGAGCGCTATTAAATAATGTGACTTTACGCCAATGAGAGAAGTGACAAATATCTCAACGTCTAATAAACCACGAATATTGCTATTCGTTCCCATACAACAAAATGTTCACGTCCATTGATGTTTATCAGCAAAAGAAAATTTCCAATGAGATCGAAGCAAAGCAACGGTGCGTCCCACAACAGGCTTGATAACGGTTTATAAGTTACATGTCAGGTCAAGCAGCTTCTAGAGATACTTTTAGTCTAAATCGGGTGCGTAAATCCGGACATAAACATCGCAATTACCGGTTAGCATGAGCCCTGTTTTACAAAGAATCTCTTCTACGATCTGGGACGATTTTGCAAAAAGCGGTCTTACAAGAGTAAGACCGCTTAGACATGCTCAAGCGGACAACGACTCAGTATATATGGGCATTTCTCTATATCTTCATTCGACATGTTAATTCTGGCCATGCAGTTGGGTAACATGGGGCAGCGAGCCCACTGCGGGTTATGGGCCCATAGCGGGTTTCTCGCTAAGTATGGCAGATATTGGTCCATGTTCTCTACCGCCGGTCGACAGTTTGACTGGGATGAAGTGTACGGATTTACGTTTTGCTAAGTGTTTGCGTTGATAAGTTATTTGTGAATAACTGTTTTAGCCCGGATAAAAATTTTTTTCCTGCTAAATAAAATTGTTTTCGATTACTGTAGAGTGTAGATGAAGCTTTTGAAATCGATGTGAATTATATTTTGAAAGTAATAGTTATAGGGATAATTTTGAGATCAAGTTTAGACTATTAGCTTTTAAAATAAAATGTTGACACGATATAAATTGAAATGATACCTAGTGGGGCAACGGGCCCACGCGTATCACGGGGCAAAGCGCCCATGGTGAAGTCTTGTGTTATACATAATTAGATTTGTCTCAATGACATTTTCAAAACTATGACTAGCTTTTTAAATTACAAATTACACTTCATATTGCATGATTTTTTGATTTGCCGCCTCAAGGCAGCAGGTTTAGTTTCTAGTTATGCGTATTTATGACCCCTTATCGAATTATTGACTCTTGCCTTGCCAAAAGTTGATTTCAGTCAACACCAATGAGCCAAAAGTTGATGAGTTTTTATGGTGTTGGCTGAAATCACGATTAGGTATGAATTCTCTGCACATAATATCTGAATTATGGACGAAACTGGAAAGCAGTTTTTCCTGATCAACTAAATATACTTTTTCTAGTCAATGATACATTTTTTCATGTAAAGGACGAATTTTTTATTGCAAGGATATATTTTTCAAGTCAAGAATATATATTTTTATGTCAACGAAATATCTTTCTTCACGTCAGTGATAGATTTTTTAAGCCAAGAGTATATTTTTTTCAAGTTAAGGATATGATTTTTGAGTTGTTAATAAATGAATGAATGTCATATTTTTATTACATTTTTGTTATTTTTAACTGTGAAGTGTGGTTTTATCATTTTTAAATAAAAAAATATGCAATTGTGGTAAAGGGACCAAGGGTGGGCGC